ATGCTGATTCGGAACTCAAAGGAACTGAAAACGTTGATCCTGATATTAATCGTAATCAAGATGCATTAACTGAAAAAAGATATTATATTACAATGTTTTGTTAATGGCAGATTACTTTATTCTTTGTTTTAAAAAATAGGTCATAGGCCAGATTTTTATTCTAACACATTAACAAATAGGCCTAGGTTAGGCCTAATAATAATAATAATAATAATAATAATAATAATAATAATAATAATAATAATAATAATAATAATAATAATAATACAGCATATACTTACCATATTCTAGCTTGCCTAGGCTAGGCCTAAAGTGTAGAAAAAAGGCAGGCTTCCTATGCCAGGCCTACTAGCCTACGTCTAACTCTACGTACGACGAGTATAAAGACTTGACAACTAACTGGCATGCAGATCTCACTTCCAAAATCCATTTTTACGAATTATAAATAATCCAGTAATTCTTGGGAGTGTGCATTGTTTTGAAGTTAGTTTTTTGTACAAATTCTTTAACAGTAGAACATTTATCTAGGGCCTAGGTTTAGGTCAAGAAAAGCTAAATTCCTTTTTCAGAAAGTCCCTCTGCAGTGTAGTGTTAAATTATGAATTCTATCAAAAGTATGCTGCTGCATTCGCGTAATATTAAATTAATACATTTTTATAACATATTTGACAGCTGGTTCATGTAAACATTGTCACGTATAAAATGCATTCGTGGATACTTGTTGTTTTTGTTTTTGTTTTTGTTTTTTCATATAGAAAAAGACCTTTCTTGCTTTAATTGTTCCACCAGATTTTGCATGAACCCATTTCAAATAGACCAATATGCGATACACTTTTCTAAATTAAAAAAAAAAGAGTAGGCCTAGATAAACTTCAAAAATAATTTTATTATTTTTAACCAAACGTCTAATCTTACAAGCATTCAAACATTTATTTGCAGTTGATGAGATTTCGAAGAAAATGAAATCTTTAAAAACTCAATTCTGTCGACTACGAACAGGCACCATTTGTTTCAGTTGCTGGTCGACATTTTCAAAACAAAAAAATAAAGTAGATACACTTTTTAAAATAATTACATGTCTTAATAAAAACATTACAGACATTTTGCAGTTGATAGGATTTCGCGGGGAAAATGTTTTTAGCCAATAGTTCCTTTCAGTTGCCAGTCGACATGAGCCAAGTTCCTTTCAGTTCCGTTCAGTTCCGTTCAGTTCCTTTCAGTTGCTCAAATTCGACATGAGCTCAGTTCCTTTCAGTTGCGTTCAGTTCCTTTCAGTTGCGCGGAGCGCTCATGTCGACGAGTTGAGTTGAGTTGAGTTGAGTTGAGTTCCTTTCAGTTCCGTGTCGACCTGAGTCTGCCTTTAACTAACAAGATTCAAAATATACTCCACTTATGCATGGTATGGTTGGTCTCATTCACAAGTACAAATATTTTCAATTCAACCAACCTGAACATAATAACCTACAGTAGAGAAAGGGGAAATTGTTTAGGTAGAACGATATCTTACCTGTACATAAGTTGATGAGGCTTTCATGATGTTCACTAAATGATGTCGAAGCTTGTTTAGGGCCAACTATTCGTTCGTATTATTCAAGACCCACAATATTGAAAAAACAGCCCGTCCTTGCAAACATGACAGGACATTGTCTTATAGTGATTCATTGACAATATCATGATTAATTTGGTTTACATTCTACTAAAAAGACTGCGCCTATGTGATTTTCTTTTGAAGAATGGCTGTGTTGCGTCATTTTCATCAGTCCTCTTTCTAGGCCTTGCAATGCCGGGCACTCAGAGCGCTAAACGGTCTTCGGCTGACACGAATATATAGAGAACGCAACGCCACAACGCGCGCGCAACCGATCGTTTTTAATATGACGATCCGTTCAGATTGCCACCAACAATCAGCGAGCGGCGTTGTGTGGTCTATCGCTCCCAGGTAGCGGAGTTGGATTCAGTCATACGACGGTTGTACTATGCAGTGAGTGCCAGGCTAATGTCTCAAGATTCAGTATTAAATCGATGCCTCTATCATTTAATAATGTTTCTCACAAACCAAAGTTCTCAGCGAAATGTTGGTTACCAAGAGGTTTTCTCTAATAATATGTTGTTCGGAAAAAAGGGAAAAACAGCTAGCGCAGGTTTTGATAGGTAGTTTGGCAAGTTTAACATGTATACAGGTAATTGTAAATATAAAAAATACAAAAAAAAAATTAAAAAAAAAATTTTTAAAAAAACAAACAAACAAAAAACAAATTAGTAGAAAGAGCCCCTTACTAAGTAGAGAGGGAATGAAAGGCTAATCAAAAACTCATCCTTTATTAAACGGGTAGATTCTCCCACAATCGAGGTAAGGCGACAACAATATGATTCATTAAAGCGTTTGTACGGCAGGGATTGTGGAAACTGTATGTTATATATGTATGTTATTTATTTTAATTATATGATTTATATCGAATAGTGTCATCCGGTTTCCTTATATGATTGTAAAACTGTAACGCAGCAGTAAGTTTACATAAAATTGTGCTTGTTGATTTATGATTGATTAAACAGTTCTACAATTATATGATTTATATTTAGGTCATGCTTTTTTTTATATTAAAGCATATGTACCATATTTAAAACCTGTTTTCAACACTGAATAATCGCTCAGGGATGAAACGCAGACATCATATTGGATAAAAACAAAGTTTGCTTGAAAAACAGAGTTTCAATATGGAACACAAAACATCGGGCTTCCGATGTAGGCCTATATTATTTTGATGTCTGTAGACCTAGTCTCTGCATTATATTTCAAAAGCAGTCTTTAATTGAAGGGAAAACCATGGTTTTGGTGGTGTCTAATTGAAAATCCAATGTAATAATAATAATAATAATAATAATAATAATAATAATAATCATATAATAATAATAATAATAATAAAGAATAAATAATAATAATAATAATAATTATAATTGTAAGGTCGTAATATAATGTCAGGGGTCCCAATTTTGAAGAATATACATCCGGGAGATCTGTTTAAATGAGCATTCTTATCACATTTAAATATATTTTGCTGTACATAACCATTGGCACTGATTTCCGGGAGACAATTGATAATACAGTATAGTAAAAACTTGCAAATATCATAAAATATTTGCGGGAGATTGTTTCCAGCAGATTCTTGCTTGCTCGCGGCTGCCTTTCCCTCGATTTCCAGGCGACTTATCCAGGAGCTCTGCAGGAGACTTTGGGACCATGGGCACTTAATATATTTTTTATATTTCTCTGTTTAAAGGAAAACTAAGAAATAATACAGTTAATCTTTTAAACTGAATCTAATGTTACTGCATGCTGTTATTCATTCTTAAAACATTTCATGGTAGCAGACATCCAGTCCTGTACTCGTTTTACCAAACTTTTCATTAAAATATTACCAATATTACCATTCACATTGTCGTTATTTCAATATAAACAAAACAGTATACGTATACAAAACACTATATTATGATGTACATTGGCTAATATTTTTATGTGTAGTCATGCAACATTTATTACAGACATGAATGAACATCACTATTATGTTATATTGGTCCTAAATTGGAGGGAAATTTCTCAGTTGGGTCCGCCAAAAAAATAATGGTCTTTGGTCTCTAAATAGAGGGAGTCTTTAATATGATGGTACAACTAAAGATAAAAGATAAGTATTCAACCGGGGCCGCAGCTGAAAAAAGAATCTTTAATTGGTGGTGGTCTAGTCTTTATTTGGAGTGGTCTTCAATTAGAGGGACACCTGTATAATAAATATATTTTGCATTTAAAATCATTAATATAGATACTTTGTAAAGCAAAGGCAGCCTAGTTGTGTAAAAATATGATTTTTATGGCAGCCATTTTCAAATATGGCTGCCATGTGGCGAACTTGCTTACTCTGAAAATATACTTTGCAACTAGAATCATTACAATACATTGATTAGATATCAGCAAACATATTTTTTTTTTGTTGGCCGCATTTTTTTAAAATCCAATGTGGCGGTTGTGATACAATCAATCCTGGGACTGTGGATGTTGGCATGATTTGAGGTGTGGAGTGGAATCCCATTCTCCTGTAGTCAATATCAAAATGAGGATATTTATCTTGGACAGATGAGAGCTCCCTGGACAGACAGTATTTTCAACTTTCATCTTCTTACATTTGTCTATAGCCTAGTCCTACTCCTGATCCGTTCAGATTGCCACCAACAATCAGCGAGCGGCGTTGTGTGGTCTATCGCTCCAAGGTAGCGGAGTTGGATTCAGTCATACGACGGTTGTACTATGCAGTGAGTGCCAGGCTAATGTCTCAAGATTCAGTATTAAATCGATGCCTCTATCATTTAATAATGTTTCTCACAAACCAAAGTTCTCAGCGAAATGTTGGTTACCAAGAGGTTTTCTCTAATAATATGTTGTTCGGAAAAAAGGGAAAAACAGCTAGCGCAGGTTTTGATAGGTAGTTTGGCAAGTTTAACATGTATACAGGTAATTGTAAATATAAAAAATACAAAAAAAAAATAAATAAAAAAAAACAAAATAAAAAAAACAAACAAACAAACAAAAAACAAATTAGTAGAAAGAGCCCCTTACTAAGTAGAGAGGGAATGAAAGGCTAATCACAAACTCATCCTTTATGTAAACGGGTAGATTCTCCCACAATCGAGGTAAGGCGACAACAATATGATTCATTAAAGCGTTTGTACGGCAGGGATTGTGGAAACTGTATGTTATATATGTATGTTATTTATTATGTTATAATTTTGTAGAATACACATCAGGGAGATCTGTTTAAATGAGCATTCTTATCACATTTAAATATATTTTGCTGTACATAACCATTGGCACTGATTTCCGGGAGACAATTGATAATACAGTATAGTAAAAACTTGCAAATATCATAAAATATTTGCGGGAGATTGTTTCCAGCAGATTCTTGCTTGCTCGCGGCTGCCTTTCCGTCGATTTCCAGGCGACCTATCCAGGAGCTCTGCAGGAGACTTTGGGACCATGGGCACTTAATATGTTTTTTATATTTCTCTGTTTAAAGGAAAACTAAGAAATAATACAGTTAATCTTTTAAACTGAATCTAACGTTACTGCATGCTGTTATTCATTCTTAAAACATTACATGGTAGCAGACATCCAGTCCTGTACTCGTTTTACCAAACTTTTCATTAAAATATTACCAATATTACCATTCACATTGTCGTTATTTCAATATAAACAAAACAGTATACGTATACAAAACACTATCTTATGATGTACATTGACTAATATTTTTATGTGTAGTCATGCAACATTTATTACAGACATGAATGAACATCACTATTATGTTATATTGGTCCTAAATTGGAGGGAAATTTCTCAGTTGGGTCCGCCAAAACCATAATGGTCTTTGGTCTCTAAATAGAGGGAGTTTTTAATATGATGGTACAACTAATGATAAAAGATAAGTATTCAACCGGGGCCGCAGCTGGAAAAAGAATCTTTAATTGGTGGTGCTCTAGTCTTTATTTGGAGTGATCTTCAATTAGAGGGACACCTGTATAATAAATATATTTTGCATTTAAAATCATTAATATAGATACTTTGTAAAGCAAAGGCAGCCTAGTTGCGTAAAAATATGATTTTTATGGCAGCCATTTTGAAATCAAATATGGCTGCCATGTGGCGAACTTGCTTACTCTGAAAATATATACTTTGCAACTAGAATCATTACAATACATTGATTAGATATCAGCAAACATATTTTTTTTTTTGTTGGCCGCATTTTTTTAAAATCCAATGTGGCGGTTGTGATACAATCAATCCTGGGACTGTGGATGTTGGCATGATTTGAGGTGTGGAGTGGAATCACATTCTCCTTTAGTCAATATCAAAGTGAGGATATTTATCTTGGACAGATGAGAGCTCCCTGGACAGACAGTATTTTCAACTTTCATCTTCTTACATTTGTCTATAGCCTATAGTCCTACTCCTTTTAAGACAATCTGCACCCTTAACACATTCTCATCTAAGTTTTCAAGAAAACCTGCAATGATCATGCCGTCCTGCTATTCTCAATCGACCGATGGCCAACAAGCTAACCACCACCACTAATTTCATCTGTTATTCTGCTGTTATGTAATACCAGGGAACAGTGAACAGTAATTTCACTGTTCCCTGGTAATACTGTACTCACAACATTCTTGTCATGGCAAGCCATGCTCTCTGGACGATTCTTTTCCGGCGCAGCACCATTCGTAATTTACGGTTTCCTGATGTCCTTATATAATCGTTTTTCATTCAAAATGTGCCTCTTGAATTTAATAAGTTTTCATTAGAACCCCTCGATTTTCATCTATTTCCATAAGCGCCCCCTAAATTTCCACTCTTCCACTTTTCTGAAGCGCCCCGTTCGAATAAGCGCCCCGTTTAAATAAGCGCCCCTCAAAAAGTGCAAAAAAATATTTTAAGCGCCCGGGCGCTTATTCGCGCGAGTACGGTAATGACGAATGTCGTTTTGACAGATAGTGACGAATGTGTAGCGAATGTTATATACAGTAATTGCTATTGAAATTGCTTTTAACTCTTTACGTTACCGGTATTCTTTATTCGTATCAAAATCGCAGAAAGACTGAATTACATGATTGTAAAATATCTTTAAAAATAACATCAAAATCGCAGCCGAGAAATTACATGATAGGCCTATATACATTTCAAAATTCAAATTTCTTTATTCAATTTATACAATCAGTACGGTACCGGTAGCAGCCGAAGCTTAATTGCAGCATTGTATTTACCAGATTTTCCTACCAAATATAGTACAATTTAAAATACTGTACATAGAAAAAAAGACCATTACAGGAAAACAATTACAAGAAGCATAATAAAATTATTTACAAATAAAGTCATTATTATTATTATTATTATTATTATTATTATTATTATTATTATTATTATTATTATATTATTAAAAAAAAAAACAGATGGAAAAACACACAAAAAATAAAAAAGCAAAACCGCAATCAAAGCAAACGGCAACAAACCAGGGGAATAAAACAGGAAAAATTGAAAACAGTAACAGCGAAATTGAAAGTAGTTAACAGCAAAAACATCAAGATTCTAAGAGCCTGGCCAAAGCTGGAATTGCACTGTTGTTATATAGTTCTGTATTAGTGCGTGTCTTTTCTAGTTTACGATTATTTCTAAGATGCATGGTGAGTGGACCAATACATTGTAAAATATCTTTAAAAATAACAAAATTCACCATATATAAAATACAAATTAAACTAATTTAGTTAAGTATTGTTTTATTACATGTGAATATGGGCATATCACAATTGTTAATTAACCAGTAAATTATGATCATTTATTTTATATCACTTGATTAGAAAGTATATTTAGAGTCACAGTACAAATTTTCAGAAATCTTTAAATGCTTTTTATAAAAATGATAATTTATTTCTATAAACAATGCTCAGTTTGGTAAAAAATACATAGTTGCATAGCTTGCTAACTTGTTTCCTGATTTCAGTGCCGATACATAAGCTTTATATCTACATTATCGAATGTTATGTGATAGATGTGTGTGATGTACACATATATGATCATGATGATGTCATATTACACTCAAATAAGTGCATGTAAAATTTATTTCTCACATAAAATTGGATAGTGAGGACAAAGCTTTACGCATGCGTCCTTTATGAAGAACAGATGCACTGCGAAGATAAAACAAAGAATATTTACTGGCATCAGAAATATCACCACGTTATCTTCATTAAAACGACATCATGGTCTGAACGCCAGCATAATCATTAGGGGAAGTTTGTAATCTTACGAAAATCATAACGAATACGAATACGTCATTTTCTTTTTTTTTTTAATTTTAGATATTTGACGAAGAAATGTTTATCACAAAATTAAAAATGATGGTTATTTGGACAATATATATATATATATCTAGATGTGTATAAGAGACATATATATATATATATATATATATATATTAAAAAATGAAGATTCCACGTTTGCTTCGATAAATAAAAAATATAGAAAGACAGCAATATAAAACAGCTATGAGTTGTAGACATATTAGAAGCAATATAATTTATAAATTCACAAATATTTCAAACACTCCTGTGTTCTTCCTCAGTGTGAGGACAATTGACAAAAAATACCATTTATTATGGATGGAAAATAATGAGCATCTATTTTGGCTATCTTTACAGCCAGTTCACCAGTGTTTGTCAGAGGGGATTGTAATTAAATTATCGCAAAAAAAGTATATTAGGCTCTATCGTCGTACCTCGTATGTAGCATTGACAATCCCATAAAAAATAACCACAGAAACTGACGACGCAACTAGGGCCTACTGTCAGCCAAGTAGTAGAGCCAGGATATTCCACATTTAATGTGTTCGTAAGTGTTCATCAGGGGGATTGTGAATAAATTATCGCAAAAAAAGTATATTAGGCTCTATCGTCGTACTTACGTATGTAGCATTGACAATCCCATAAAAAATAACCACAGAAACTGACGACACAACCTAGGGCCTACTGTCAGCCAAGATAGTAAAGCCAGGATATTCCACATTTAATGTCTAAAAATTCGGTTCCTTATACGCTGAAGAGGGTTAGGGTTAGACTAACTATTATCGAAACATCGTACTGTACCCATGTTTTATCGACCCATAAAAAATAGCCACACACTGTGGCGGCAGTGGCCTAGCCAAAGGGAATGAGGAAGGGGAGAGGAATGGATACAAATAAATAAAATAATATTAAAATTAATATTATTATTATTAATATTAATAACAATAATGGTAAAAATGCGGTTTGGCTCAGTGGTTTTCATTCTGGCTGTTGAACTTGTAGTCAGGAGGAGTAAAAATAAATACGAACAGTAACAGACCCCATGGATGGCAAAACGAACAAGGGAAAACAACGTAAAAGATTAAGAGATGAGATCGATATTTGGGGAAGATTAGTAATAACAATAATTGTAAAAATGCAGTTTGGCTCAGTCTGGTTTTCATTCTGGCTGTTTGTAGTCAGGAGTACAAACAAATACAAACAGTAACAGAACCGATGGCAACACGAACAAGGGAAAACAACGTAAAAGATTAAGAGATATGCGATCGATATTTATTGGGGAAGAGTGATGGTGCAACCACAGACATTTGTCAAGCAGTGGACCGACAATAGTGATCGAGCCTTGAGTCTAGGTGACAGTTTAATTAATCTACCATATGGGATTACAACCCAGAAAAACCCAGCCGCAGATGACCCACCCTTTGATAATTCCATATTCGTTTTTATCATTTTATTATTTTAAGATAAATTTTATTTTAAAAATAATCTTTAATTCATATACAGTATTATGCATATTGCAGTAAAAAATTAGGACTATCCTTATATGCATTAGCGACGCTTTATTTATTATCAAGCTGTTTTCTATTCTTGTGTGGTAAAATTCTAATCATTGTGCATTGTTGTGGTGTCGTGTGTTCCGTGGGACCGCGACTAAATTCAATTCCAAGAATTCTGACCCCTTTATTTCGAATGTAGGTAAGGTGCCCCGGGAAAAATTACCCAGGAAAAAATGGCCCCGGAAAAAATGGCCCCGGTAAAAATGGCCCCAGTAAAATGGCCCCAAGTGACAAGTAGGTAAAAATGGCCCCAATGAAAAAATTCAGTAATAGAAATATTTTTTTTTAAATCTTCAAATATTTAAATACTTTAATAAGCAAGAATTGAATCAATAACAAATACAGTTACACAACAGATGCAAATAATGTACTGAGAGATTATCAGAAAACAACGGCCATTCAACATTTTTTGATAGTTGAAAAACGTTATTCCACTAAGAAAGTAGAGGAATGACATACATACAGTACTTCAACTACCAAAATATGCAACTCATATATAACCACAAAATTCACTTTTGTTAAGTATCAAATGAAATAACTTTACATGTTATAACAGTGCGAATAAGCATGTGGATCAATTGTGTGTTTGAATGACAAGTTCATGTATGGGAAAAGGGAGGCTTACTTTACTTTAACAAATGTTCTGCTTAGAGTTACTTCAAAGAAGTATTTGTTAATCAAAGTATTGTTTTTAAAGTAAACTGAATAATTAGAAATACATTTATTTAAACAACTTATTTAATTGCATACTTGGTTTCTACTCCCCGCCAAGTAAATTTAAGTGCCTAAAACTATACTAAATAATGTAAACTGAGATACTATATTATATACATAGTTATGTAAATATGGCAATTATGCTAAGAATTAAAAGGGCGTGTAATTGTGAGGGTAAAGTAATTATGGTAGGATCAAATGGTATTGCTAAATCCTAAAAATCTCCTAAAATACACTGTAGAAAACCAAACAATTCAATTGTGATTGACTCACTTCGTATATCAATAAGAAAATTAAATATTTATAAGAACCTATTTTTTTGGTTAAAATGTTGATTTTTTTGTTGGTGAAAAATACTTGCAAATACACCACCATCCTCCAAACACACTGCGAACCCCATCCAAACCCTTTAATTACGATTGTAGAACTCTCTTTTTCTATAAAAAAAAAAATAATAATTTGATGTTCATATAAACTCATTGTTTGTGGGGTTTACCAATGCCCGGATTGAATTTCTGGAAAATTTTGATTCCGCTTCCTTGAAATTGGCCACAAAAAATTATTTTAGTATTAATAAATGCATGATTTATGTTGATTTATTGATTATGTTGTTGCTATTTTTTAACATTTAAATGAAAAAAAAAATAAAAAGTGTTATTCATGGCTTTTTTTTTTTATCTTTGAATATTTTATCATTGAAAATGGCAATTTATTTGATGTTAGATTCCTTTTAAAAAATAAATTATTTCAGTTTAAAAAAATGCATATAATGATTTTTAAAAAATCAGTTTTAATACAGAATTTTATTATTGGGGCCATTTTTACCTACCTGTCATTTGGGGCCATTTTTTCCTGGGCCATTTTTTCCGGGGCCATTCTTACTGTACACCATTTATTTCATGTATTAGGATATCTATTGTATGATCTAATATCCTACACAATAATCCGGAATATTTAAAACTAATAAATTGGTCTTGTATTTCATCCGGGCTCAAACCTAGGCCTATCCACGGCCGCCGAAAATGATGCATGCTGTGTGTATCGATCGCCTAGGCCTAGGAAATGCATTATTAGGTGGGTTTGATAAAACACGTCCTCAAAAGCTAATTATAATACCGTATCATTCTGTCACTGCAAACGACTTTGCAAATGTGGGAGAAGCATAAATTACTTTTCTCCACTCCACGGGAAAAACAATCATACCCTACGAGCAGCAGCCGAGATACAAGCAGCCAGGCAGATGCGGACTAATTTCATTCCAGGGGGACCGGTTTTAGCGGCGAATGTCGACCCCGTGGACCTTAGCGGTCAGAAAAGGTCATATGCGGACCGATTTTAGTACGGTCCAATTTTTGCCGTGACAGGCTTATACCGATGTCCACTCTAAGGATTAAGTGAGAAAAATTAGGTTTGATGTTAAGTCTATTGCTCAGTGGTGGCGCCAGAAGGGGGGGGGGGGCTGGGGCTATATCCCCCCACCCCTTTGAAATACATCGTGGTTGGTGAATCAACCTCGACGATGACAGTGTGGTTGACATATTTCATGGAAAATTTCCAAAATGTAGAATTTCACTTTCAAGAATGAGGATTTTAAAATAAATTAGATGGTTACATTGCATACGCTTTGTTTCTTGTTTTATTCAATTTTTTGGTTTTGAAAGCTGATTGCGACATTAGAAAACATAGCCTACATGAAGTCATATAGTAACTCGATGCCTATAAAAATAATAAAATTTCGTCAAATATCCGTGGCTTCCAGGGGACCAAGCCCCCTGGACTCCGCCCCCTGGACCCCTGGGTAGGCCTAACCACGGCCGCCGAAAATGATGCATGCTGTGTGTATCGATCGCCTAGGCCTAGGAAATGCATTATTAGGTGGGTTTGATAAAACACGTCCTCAAAAGTTAATTATAATACCGTATCATTCTGTCACTGCAAACGACTTTGCAAATGTGGGAGAAGCATAAATTACTTTTCTCCACTCCACGGGAAAAACAATCATACCCTACGAGTAGCAGTCGAGTTACAGGTGAAGTGGCCAGAGAGGCCAACGTGGACAAGTTTTATGAAAGCGGGACCGACTTTAACGGCTAAAGTAAACCCAGAGGACCGACTTTAGTAGTCAGACGATTTTGGCAGCCAAAATCTGTTCGCCGGACATTTTTTGGCCCGGACCAATTTTGGCGTGACAGTCCTATAAATAAATGAAAAGAAATTTTGTAATAAAATGCCTCTGGCTGGACTTCAACCTCCCAAGGCGAGCGTCATAACCATTAGACCACGGAGGTTTCATGGTTGAACAGATTCAAATACCACCAGATACACTCCATTACACAATAGGTACGGCTAGAAACAAATAGTTGCTTATAATATTAATAAAGATAGCCGTTAACACTGTTAAATTATATATAAATCATCAAAAAAAGGTAAATCAGTGTTCGAATAAAGGACATAATAATACATCGTGTAGCATAGCTCCCAACGAATGTAGCCCTATAAATAAATGAATAAAGAGATTGTGTAATGAAATTCCTCTGGCGGAACTCGGACCTGCGACCTCTCGCTGTCAAGGCGAGCGTCATAACCATTAGACCACGGAGGCTTCATTGTTGAACAGATTCAAATACCACCAGATACACTCCATTACACAATAGGTACGGCTAGAAACAAATAGTTGCTTATAATATAAATCAAGATAGCCCTTAACACTGTTAAATTATATATAAATCATCAAAGAAAGGTAAATACAGTGTTCGAATAAAGGGCATAATAATACATCGTGTAGCATAGCTATAGCTCCCAACGAATGTAGTCCTATAAATAAATGAATAAAGAAATTGTGTAATGAAATGCCTCTGGCGGAACTCGAACCTGCGACCTCTCGCTGTCAAGGCGAGCGTCATAACCATTAGACCACGGTAGTTTCAAGATTGAACAGATTCAAATACCACCAGATACACTCCATTACACAATATGTACCGCTAGAAACAAATAGTTGCTTATAATATACATCAAGATAGCCGTTAACACTGTTAAATTAGGCCTATATATAAATCATCAAAGGAAATGTAAAATACAGTGTTCGAATAAAGGACATAGTAATACATCGTGTAGGATAGCAGTCAACGAATGTAGTCCTGTTAGACCTACTTATTGGTGTTATTAATTCTAGAAAAAAAAAATATAGGCCTATTTGTACTGTGAAGCTAAAACCAAGTCAATTTAGAGCTCAATAATATTAATAAATACCGTATAAATGTTATCAACAGCAAAATACGGTACATTATTATTATTTTTTTTTTTTGCGAAAATACTGAACAAAATATTAATTAGCGAAGCCAAACAAAAGTCCTAGGTTAAGTACGGTAGGAAACCAAGTAATTAAAGAAGACAAAATATAACCTACGTATAGTACAATTCATTACGACCTTAGTACTACAGTACATGAGCGATGCAGGGTGGGTCAACTGTCACAAGTGTTAATATTTACTCTATTCTTAATTAGTGGTTGAAGCATACGAAATTTACTGAATTTGGAAGACTCTCATTATCGATAACCGTTTTCAAAAAAAGTAATGACATTAGCTATTTGTACATAAAATTAACCAATTTTTTTACTTTATAGCTTTTATTTCGCTGTGGCATATTTTTCCGATGATTTTACGCAAAAAAAAAACAAAACAAAACAAAACAAAAAACAAAAAACATTTTCAGGCCTGTCTATATTTTAAATTAATTTTAATTGCATTTTTTTTTCAGGAACATTTTCTGGTTCCTATTTTTCCATTATAATAGGATGCATGTCGTTAGAAACACTGTAATAGGCTTACCTTCGTTCCTGAATAATAGTAGTGTGAACGGCTGGTGCAGGGGCAGAATTTTGCTGGGTGTTTATAACGACAACACCGCCTCCTGCAGCCGACGGGGCAGCAAATGCTTGCTGGGGTTGGGGTGGTGGCGCATAGCCTTGAGTCATTGGATATCCTTGAGGTGGTGGCGCATACCCTTGTTGGGGTGGCGGTGCATACCCCTGCTGGGGTGGCGGTGCATACTGTTGTGGTGGATGTTTTCCCTGTTTAGATGTGTTACCAAAAAAAAAAATAAAGTTTCGTTAATTCAATTTTTTAATACAAAATTTTAACCGTGCGAACAGCAGAACCGGTGTAAGTCCATTTTCATTTAATAAAATTTTTTCGATTATTCTGTTTGTTTCGTTTAAACCAGTAGCATGGGGCACTATACAATGATACCTCTATGAATACAGATAGGTCTAATATCAGTTACAATAATGAATTACAAAACTAATAGTGTAGAAAAGACGTTCTGTGTCACGGCAGTAATAACTATTCTATTATAATATTTCAATACCAAGTTAAATGTGGTACTGTAGTTGGTTGTCTGGCCCTATACAATACCATTATAATACTGAAACCTTATCTCGAGACTTTATATATCCATTGTTTAACCATAGAGCAAAGAAACTCTATGGTTTAGCGAACTATTTTTTTTATAGAGATCGTCAGAGGAAGACGGGAAAATATAATTACGAGTTTCAGAAGCATCTCGGCGTAGGAGAAAATATTTTTTTATTTTTATTTTTCGATAAATAAAAACAATGCACTTGTGTGAGGTAAAAAATATAATAGAGTATACTTTGGCTTATACTGGAGATCCTATCAGATGATCGTAAAGTAAGGTATACTTTGTAACCTGATATCTATGTTTAAATTTATATAATTAAGAAAGAAAGCTTTCTTATTTTGAGGATTTTCCTTACCACAAAGAGCGTAATACTTATAAATAAAAATAATGTTTTTCCCCTAAAATTTCCATTTTTTTGTGGCAGAGAATGTGCTGACTGGCCAAAAATAAAATTTTATTTTTATTTGCAATCACCACTATTAGCGGGCGGAGAATTTGCTAACCAATGTAGGCCACTATAACAAAGTGTCGCCTAAATTCGAATAAATGAAACCCAATATACCACTGCTGGTAAAATTTAGGGAAAAAAATCCTTAAAAATATAATTATTCATTTAAAAAAATATCAAACAAGTTAACGTAAAAAAGAGGAGACCTTGTTGTTTATTCATATTTATTTATTTATGAACTCGTTCATAAGTATAAATATTTTTAAATAATGTTGGTAGAACCTTACCTGTGCATACGGTGGTGGGGCTTCCATGATGTTCACTAAAAGCTATGTCGAGGTTGTTGTGAAGGCCAACTATTTGTTCGTATCAATATCCACAATATTAAAAACAGCGCCGTCCTTGTAAACATGATGTGCCATACATAATCATGATGATGTCATAATGAGGCCTACCCTCAAATATGGGCATATTAAATTTATTGGTCACATAAAATTTGATAGCGTGGACAGAGCTTTTCACATACGTAGGCCTACCTTATGAACAGCAAATAAAAATAGGGATAAAATAAAAACTGTCGGTGTTAAAATTAACACCACATCATCTTCATAAGCATCATCATCGTCATGAACGTCACCAAGGGGAATTCGCAACCTTGCGAAAAAGATAACGAATACGAATAGGCCTACGTCATTTTCATTATTATTTTTTTTGTTATGTTCAGTCAACCCAAACAAGGCCAAGGGTTACTCAAGTTAATGGATTAAGATATTTGACAAGAAAAAGGTTGAAATAAAATTTAAAATGATCGCAATTTTGAAAACAATAGCCTATAGGCCTACGAGCTGAACATGATTGCTGGTTCGTGTAAAAGGCATGGATGGCCTATCAGTTGTGACAGATGCTGTAGGGGGTGGAGCGTGGATTGGCTAACATCTTTTTTATGACGTAGCCGTAGCCTATTCCTTATCATTCTAGAAAGCTTGCTATCATTCTTTGTCATCTTCATCACCTACACCATTACCATAATCATCGGGCGCAATTTATCCTCATAGTCAAAATTATCCTCATTTATTGTATCACCCGAGACGATTGCTGGATAAATATATAGGCCCGCATTGGCGGATACAGCAATTAGAAAATTCATGATTACGGCACCTCAAATTGCTCTCTTCAAATTTGAATATAGTTTTCTTTTTTCTTTTTCATTCTTTTAAATTTTGACAACATTGGTGGGGGAGGTGCGGACCGGCTGATCATCTTGAATTCGCCACTGGGCCCTATTCAAACTCTCGGCGTACCTACCAACAGAATCCCAGGCCACTAAAAATAACGTGATGAAAATATGAAGACACTGAAGCCGGATGTATTTGAGACTTCACTGCATTGGCAACATTGGCTATTCAATTCAATTGGCGACGAATTCAATTTAAAAGAAAAATACTTATCAGTATTTTTATATTTCTTACATGCAATAAATTCTATTTTTTAATTATTATTTCCCTTTTGGAATGTTAATCCTTCAATTAAATTGAAATTATATTCAACATAATACATTATCAATTAATAAGAATTTTGACTTGTAAATTTATACGAAACTGTATTTCTAAATGTTTTTCCTTTGAATTTTAATCACAATTTAATGTTTTTGTATGTACTGAATTATCCGTTTCTTTAATGTTCACTGGAGAAACTTTAGTTAGCGATTGAGTTCGGTTTTTGGCAAAGTTCGCTTTATGGTAATCCCCAGGTTTTTGTTTTTGTCTTCTGAATTTTTATTATACTCCATATCGACTTGGAAATAACTAGATATCTCCCCGCAATATATTGATTACAAAATGATGGAACAAGAAAGTGTTTTCCTTTTATAAACACGCTATGTGTGCCAGAAAAAAAGATCCCTTCAAAACCTAGGGTTATAAAATAAACGTCCGATAGCATGGTAGGCTATACATACAAACTACAGTATCCGGGTTAACGACGCAACATCGGTTAGCAATGGTGTAACGCTCAGCGTGCGGGCGCTAGTAAAAAATATTTCCGACTCGGAGATAGAACATACTTTGAATTTGACGGTCTACATTATCGTCAAATGAAATAAAAAAGGAACTAAAAATTGTAAGTATACTTTTATTTCAGAAAAAAATAATATACAATAGTTTTTGACTCCTACTAAAAATCATAACAGGATATCAAATACATGATCATCACGCTAACACTGCAATACCTGTCTCTTATACACATCTAGATGTGTATAAGAGACAGGTGCATACGGTGGTGGGGCTTCCATG